TGCAAACACAAGGGCTAGTTAGCAAAGATCTGTATAGATGCATGAATTAGGTTTGCCACAGGGGTGTGTGCGTGCGTTTTAACAGATAATGAGCCCAAGTGCAGCTAAGGCCAACACAGGAATACAAAGAAGTATATATAGTGGCAGATCTACTAACATTAGGCTTTCCTGCTCTTGGAGCAGCTGCGTACAAAACCCCCTCAACTAATAATCTACAGTTGAGTAAATCTAATTTGTTTGAACTAGACTGTTGGCTTCTGCTACTGCTAACTTCTGGACTTTAATATTTTTTAGTGTCAAAGTTATTTAGGAATCTACATCTACTGATTTCTATTTTAATTGGTGTCCAAGAAAGTTGCAGTGCCCAAATGCCTTGGATTCTCATTCTAGCTCACTTCAGACATGTGCAGCAACTGTTCTCACATTTTATTAAGTTCAGTAGAAAAAGCATTCACAAAATGTTCCCCATATGGGCCACCTATTACTACTAATTAACTCCACTGGCATTATAATGTGGAGTGAATGTAAAGCAAGGCCTTTGTATGACTTTGTCATGGATACAGGTCTGGAATAAGTGTGTGTGGCAGTTATTTTTCTATGCAATACTTTTGAATAGACAAGTTTAATACCCATATTCAAAGAAAGAATTGTTTGGGTAAGTTTAAGGTTAATTAAAAGCTATATACACTATTGATTAGTTTGCACCTGAAATAGCATTGGTGCTACCTCACCTCGAGTAGGCAATCAGTGTAGGTTCCTTCCAACTGAAAATATTCTCTTCCGTATCCTTACTTAAAAATGATACCTTGCTCAATTTATGTAGAAACTGGGACAAAAAATTGTGGAGAGTTTACATAAAGTTATAGCATATAATTGTAAAGCACCAGAAAAAGATTAATAAAATTTTGCACTGAAATGGAAAATGCAGTGTTTAAATAATAATTTCACACTTAATATAAATTTGTTACAGGCTGTTTGCAGCTAGGGCTTAGTACAGGTCAAGGATTCTTTTCCTGGTATTAAAGAATTACCTGTTGTAGTACATTTCACTATTTTGCTAACTTTCCCTCTGCCACAATTAAGATAGGAATGTAAAGATATAAGTAAATAAAATTTCTACGGAAAAATTGTTTTACTGTTTTTGTGTTTTTGTTTGTGTTTTGTTTGTTTCGTGTTTGTTTTTAAAGCAATGTCATTTCAGGACTACATTTATCATCTTAATTACATCTTGTACATATTAGTGTTACTATGTAGCTTCATAAATTCATTCTCAGGTCTCTTAATAACAATCAGAGCAAGGTGCTGGGCAAAACAAGACTGAAGTCTGTTTTCCCATACAGAAAGGGTTTTATTAATTAGAAATGACCATGTACCAAGAACACTTATCCAAAACTTATAAGGAGGACGCAATAGTTCTACAAATTTACATGGTCTGTCAACCCCTATGAATGAACATCTAGCTTTAGTTATGTCAAGGAACACATTTAATATTCTTGTAATTCTCAGCATTCACAGGTGATTGCAACCACTCATAGATAAGAAGAGCTTAGAAAGCCCTAAGAAGCTAAACATCTTCAGATGATAACCAAAAGAGGAGCATCTGGAAGAAGTTTTGGAACTGTTGTACAAGATTTTACAGAGCCTATGATTTTAATTCTGGGCAACTGGGGAAAAAATAGTAGATAGCTATGTTTTTCAGTGCTGTAGCTTACGAAAGTGTTTGGGAAGATGAACTGCTATTGTAGAGGATGCTCAGATACTTTTTTGAGAGGTGAATGCAGTTCTTAAACTGGATGACACCGATACAACAAAGCGAGTGTGTGTCTGGACAGCACCCCAATTTTCCATTTGTCTTCCATTCTCTTAATGGCACCCTTCCTCTACCTCTTCTCACAACTCCATATCAAAAGTTTATTGTGGTGGGTAAGAGGAGAAAAATAATCTCTTCCCACGTGGCTGTGCAATAAAGAGATTTGACACAAGCAACATTATAGTATTTATGACTTTGATGCAAGCCAGCAGTTTTGTTCAAGTGGCTGGATTCTTATTGTCAGGGCTCAAAATCTTCAATAAATCTAGAGCAAACAAAAGCATTGCAGTTACATGAATTCTCCTGTCAAGCCAAGCAGCTAAAATACTGAGAAAATCGAGCTAGTAGAGCAAAAGTCATGAGCAGAGGACAGATTTTATCCTGCATGCTTAGCCAGTTCATTCTAGAATTATATCAGCATTGTTTGTTTGCAAAAACCAACCAACCGACCAGCCATAAACCCACCTTTTAAGTACTAATAATTGACTCTTTTCTAGTTGTTAGATCTCCATAAAACCCCTTGGAAGTTTTGATGGGATTGTAGTAGCTGGACAATTATCTCCTAGGCAGAATGGTGGTAGAACTAAAGAGTTACAGACCTGTGCTGTGTCCTGTCAGTACAATACCTTCCTTCATAGTGACAAATTGGAGACCTCTACTAAAATGTTATTTTGTTTAATCATGTTCTTTTTGTTCTTCCTCTGAGAGCTTGCTTCCTCTGACCTCAGATTACTGGCTTGAAAGCAAATTTTTAGTTTCTAAAGCTTTGGTAGGTTACTTAAATTGAGCTATCAACTCATGCATGAAACAAAAAGCCTAATTACTGTCAAAACATAAACCTATTTACAGCAGATCAAAGTATATAATATCATTTTCTCAAGTATTGTTGCTCTGCACCTTCAATAAACTTGCCCTTTACCTGTGACATTCACTCTGAAAAATTTGATGGCAACACTTTCTGACTAGTCTTGTGCTTGTCTGTAACTTGGCAGCATTATGGCACATAAAATTCGTATCATGACAAGGTTTTTCATGATTATGAACAGCAGCTTGGCAATGGAATTCTCCTTTATGGGCCTGTTCCAAGAACTGTCAGAAAAATCTTCCAGTTCAAGCAGGACAGTTTTGATCACCCCCTTAAGTGGTTTAAAGGGTCCAATTTCTTTGTCAAGGTTCTCAGAAAACGAAGGCAATTTCTCAAGGCACACGGTATTAGTCCCTAGCCTATCAATCACTGTTATGAGACAAGCCTTGAGAATCTGATGGCTGAGGTCTATTAACTGCTCACAAGATTGATAACAGGGTAAGGTGCAAAGGAAATGCTGGATTTCCAATCAGCTTGCAGTCTTCTGAAGTTCTTGCAATACCATCATAAAATAGATGCTACTCGATACACAGAGATGTTCATCAAACTGTTTTTCATATATGATTCTAGAAACAAAGAGAAAGGTGACTAACTGCATATGCACAAGGTAGGAAGCTGAAGCTCTTCTCAATTCCCACTTAGTCTCAGCTCAGGAAATCTGGTTAATCAGGAAATCACAGTGTGATGTAGCTACTACAGGCTGTGCAGCCATTATACATGTATGATGTTTAAGTAAGTGTTGTCTAGAGAAATACCACCCAGTCTTTCAAATACTTCTTTGTATTAGGGTACATAAGAGAATGCAAACCAAATACATCAGGGGGGAATTGTGGGGACTTGTGCCTCGTATCATTAGAAATTGACAATGCCTCAACTCTTTCAAAGAAAATTAGGCATTCAACCCCCCAAGATGATCTATTCTGGGGGTAAGAAATAAAGTCTGCCAATGTTCTGCAACACTTCAGTACACATATCATAGTTTTAAATCTGACATATTACTTCAAAAGACCTAAGGAATAAAAGTCCATTTGATAGTGGAGTAACTACGTATGATTTTGTATTCCTCATTGGTCCTGAGTTGTGTTTTAAATCTAAATTAAAAAAATGTTTTACTGTAATCACATGGGGCCCAGATTTCTGGATTCTGTGACATTTTAAGTCTTTCTCTGCATTGATGGATGTATACTTTTTAAATACTACTGCCCACCACCACTGTAGCCTCAAGAGAATACTTACCTACAATGGTCAAGCTATGAAAATAATAATGTATATAATACAGTTACTCTACTTTTGCCTATTCTTTTTGTAGCCTTCATTTTGTTCTGTTTGCAATGTCTATTCCACCCTCTTCTATTTCAGTTTATTTCTCCATCAACATATCCTACTATATTTATAACCCATTTCACTTATCAAGTCTCTCCAGCACCCCAATCCTGTGGTAGTATTTTAACTTTGCCCATTACTGATCTGATAAACTAAGACTAAAAGGCACTTTTATAATTTATGAGATGCAACTGCAAAAATTCTCACTCCATCAAGGTTATGGAACATTTGAAAAAACATCATCTGGGCCGTGCGCTTCAATTTATGTCATGTGCTTTTCTTAATTTTCTTTGCATATTCATAAAAGTACACAAGACATAACCATATGGATAAAGTCAGATTTAAAGAGAACATGAAGGAAAAGCAAACATTTCACTAGAATGTTAACCATCTTGTCACACTGAAAAGAAACACTATTAAACATGTCCCAGATGTGGTACAAAAGATTTTTTTTTTTTTAATCTTGGACAGTGTTCCTTGTTATACAGGTACCATGACTGAAATTAATCACAAGCTCATACAGCATTAATTATTTATAAGTATGTTCTGTTCTAAAGGGATCTTATATTCTTCAGCATATCTGATGGGCAGAGTTCTGTAGCACTAAAAACCCTTGTAATGATTTATGTGAGCGATTTTTTATCTTACACTGTAATCTGTCCTTGCATTGTCTCCTCCAACAATTTTCAGAGGCGTGCATAGAAAAAAGGGCAGGTGTGAAGCAAATTCTTCTATAAACCCTAAAAGTATTTTTAATTTCTTTAACAAAAAACTCTATAGTATTGACTTAAGATAATTGTGTTCAACTATCTTTTTTCCTTACAAGCAGCATGGCAAAATTAATTGGCCATATTCTCCCTTTCTATGTTTAATCTCCCTCCGAGTTTTCCTAAAATGAAAAATAAAAAGATGTTCCCAGAAACAAAACCACAAAAACTCCTAAAAATGTGAATAGAGCAGTTTAAATTGGAAGTAAATGCCAGATAGTTTTGATCAAGGTAGTCTGTATGACTGCCACAAGCCATTTTAATGAATGTATGATTAACGAGAAAACTGCCGACGGTCTGATTTCTTGTTAATGTGTTTGAAAATTTTAGCTTTGTGGACGCTTTTTGCTTTCTGGTAACCAAATCCCCCACCTCCACCTCTTTTCTGTAGTCTTCTGCCATGGTTGCTGTTCACATCTGAAATTTTATTGGTTAAAGAACTTAAAAAGGAATAATTCAAAATGTTGCTTTTTAGGTACTGTAAAGGTTATTAATGTGAGAAAATATAGCAGCATTATACAAAAAGTTGCACTGCATAACTACAGGCAAAACTAGAACTTTGTGTCTGTGGTCCTAAATAAGGCTTTTAATTCCTTTAGTTGGCTAACAAAGCTGGCCAAAGTACTGCTTCCAATTCCATCCACTGGCAGGTTTGACAATGATCTGTAGCATCTCCTATTTCATGCTTTTGCCCCTCTATTTCTATGTTCCATAATTATGGAACTTAAGCATGTACCTTTCAATGAAAATAACAATTCATGGAAAACAGTACTCTAGAACACATTTGCATGTATGCATTCCAGCACTTGCTACCCCCCAGCAACTGAATCATGTACAGCATCTACATTCTCTAAAACATAGATGATTGTATGCAATTTTTGCAATTTTAATATTTGCTATTTAACATACTTTTAAAATAAACTACTGTTGGAGCACAGGACATTTATGTGATTAATAACAAAATCAGAATTTGAAGTTGCATAGGAACTTCAGGAAGTTGCATTTAACACATATAACACAGAAATACAGTTTTGAAACACTGCAGTAAAAGGATACTGAGGTCAACAAATGGAGGAACTTTAAAACCAAATGAAAGGCTGACTTTGGGAAGATCCAAGTTATTGACATTATAGATCTGCTTCAAAGAATGGGAGTCATAAGCTCTAATGTAAGCTTTGTATGCTTCCTGGGCTGACTTGTGAAGGAAGTAATTCTTCTCAATCAGTTTTTCCAGCTGGTGAGGGGGGAAAAAAGACCAAAACAAAACAAGAGACATATCCAGTTATAGCTGTAACAAGTGTATAAATTATATTCAAGCAGATTATTTACTGTGGGTGTTGCAGTGACATTCACCATTCACTTCAGCAAAACTGCCCTGTGACAGTGGAGTGCATGTACATGTATCAGAATGCTTTTATAAACAGAGGGAAAAAAAAAAAAAAGAGGTTTTTTTATACTGAAATGGAATTACAGTACAAAGCCTCAGCAATATAAAAATTTACAGAAATATTGAATTGGACTGTCCCAAACAGGCTAATCAAGGAGTGTAAAACTACAGCCACACCCTAAAACTATGTGTATTGAGAATTAATGGGCAACGATGGTGTAATTTTAAGTCACACATCTAGAATGTACAATTCCATGTAATTCTATATGTAGTCTTATCTATGGTGCACATGCATTGTAAAATCAGAAGTGTTAATTCCAAGACAAAAATGCAGATGCAGTAGTGTAGACAATTTATTTGTTGCAGTCTAAGTTCCCAGTCCTTTAGATCCAGGTATCTCATTTGAAGTTTAGCTTACATTAATTCCGCATACTAAGTTACACTGGACATCATTACTTTCTAATTATTCTTAACTAGGAACCTCTTCACTGCCTCTTATTTTCGTTACTTCAAATCTAAGTTACTGCAAAGAAGCTTTACAGCACTCCTACCAGAAGAATGAGTCACAAAACTAAACAATAGAAATTCACATCTACAGAACTATCTGCGTCATTCTATTCAACTTTATGCTCCATGGCTATTTTTGTAGCACTAGAGCACAAAACAGGCTAAGCTGACACTGGGCTTTATTAAAACCAGATAGTTAAAAATACACCTGGAATGTATCTTAACATCTCTAAGTATTGGTACTGCATCTCTTTCTGGTCACAGAAGTCTGAGTACATCATCTTGCAAAACATACGTTGCTCACAGTTAATCTGAACGTATGTAACTATGCAATAAAAGCTACCAAAACCCTGTTTGTTCTGCCAGACAAGAACATCCCTTCAAAAGCTGAAAGCACGTTTACATCATTGTGCTTTTGCAAGATAATGTGAAAAACTACTTGTTACAAGCCAATCTGTACTGTGTAATGATGCAAATTTAGTGCTAGATATTAAAATTAATCTTTGATTTCTAAATCTTTTATTGCTTTACTGTTATCAAGATACAATATAGTGGGAGGATTTTCTAAAGGGCATAAGACTAGCCTTCTCCATGCAAATTATTATACAGATATGTAGAGTAACTGTAGTATAAAGTCATTTCATACCTGAGACTGGATGTCTGAAATTTTTGACCATGAAAATTCAAATTCACTTAATGGTACCTTAAAAAAAAAAAATAATAAATTATACTGTAAACAGTGAATGTGTTTAAGACATAAGACAAATAGAAAAAGACCTCCTATATAACCGAAGATCTTTTTAATAACCCAGCTGTATCTGTAAGGAGGCTTTACATCAATATACCAGTATATTACTCTACCTTAAATGAAGTGATTAAAAATGCTCAGTATGCTGAGCTTTAGCTTTGCTTTAGAAGCTATACAACTTTACTTATAAGTGTCAAAACTCTGTAGTGTAAAGAAGCACATGAGGAGAGCAACCAAGAAACCTTGTGCAGTCCTGCCACATTAGAATGATTATATTTAGAAGGTGGCTGCACTTCTGGAATTGAACAAAACTCAGCTGACACTGAATAGAAAAAAACTGTACAAGCAATATCCTGGTTTTAATTTCCTATGGGTGGTCAAACTCCCAGTATGCTTTCACAGACAAGCCACAGGAAATTTATTTATTTATTGGCACCACAAGTTACACAGTTGCAAAGCAACTATAAGTACACTCAGTATTTACCTTTGTGCTGCTGACTTCAAGATAGTTGTTCAGTTAAACACTCTAAGCAACAGAATTTTTGCTTAAAAAAATTAACGTTAATTAGACATGACATTTTTTGCCTTTAAAAACCTGTTGCACAGTAAGGAAAAAAATGTAAACATTCTAGACATAAGGTTTACCCTTGCTTGTTTTAAGTAACGAAGAAAGCCCAGTTCTTCTGGTCGTAAAATGAGCAGAGCATGCCCTCTGCCATTTATACCTCTGGCAGTTCTACCAACACGATGAATATATTCCTTTTGGAAAGAGTAAGAAACAACAAGTCCAATCAGTATTTCAAACACATGAGAAACAAACAACTCTCCCCCTCCCAATTTAACACTAATATAGTGTAATGCATCATCCATTATTTTTAAAGACCACTTTAAATGACACATGGATGAGGGAAAGCAAGTGCCGGAGATGCAAAGCATTAATTAGGCTGAGACCTGATTAATTTAACAGAATCCCTGACTAGAAGTATTTTACCTTTTATTAAAGAATAAAAATCTTAAGTCTGCTGTAACTGAAAATTAAAACTTTGCTTTTGGTATATTTGCTGTGTTTATTTGTCAAAACTTCTCTGAGTTTTTTGAGTTTTGCTTGTTTACACTGGACATTTATTAAAGTAAGAATACTTTTAAATACGAATCCAATTTCCACTGGAAAAGCTGTGAAGAGACTCAGGGATGCATATATAAACTCATACTCCTCCCGAGAACTGTTTTGGTGTTTAGCCAATTAGATTTTACATTAATTTAACAGCACAAAGAATAAGATTTTTAAATGCAACTCTTAAAATGGTAATGAAGGTCTCAGCTAGGTGCAGCATTTCCCAGGAGCTGATGAAGTGGAAGAAATCAGCAGCTAGATTTGAACATGGCTGAATCCTGCAGCAGTTTCAGGAGCAGTAGTTTCAGCTTTTCTCTGCAACGATGTTTGTAGCTAGGATTGGATCTGTTGCTTTCAAGTTTCTCTGTTTCCTTAACTTACTTTTGGATCATCTGGTGGGTCATACTGGACAATCCAGTCAACTTCAGGAATATCCAATCCTCTGGCAGCTACATCAGTGCACAACAGTATTCCAGATTCTGCATTACAGAACTGGAAAAATGTTGTAGTACGTTTGGTTTGTTTCTGCTTGCCCTAAGAGGAAACAAAAACATAAAGGATGAAATATTAACTAAAAAAAGTATATCAACAAATAATAAAAAAAATAATCTGCCCACTTGTAAGCTTAAATCTACTTTCTCATTTCACATACAATACCACTGCCAAAACCAGAAAGTAATTTGGGGCAGCTCTGCATATCACGGACTTGTACAGACCAAGCAGGCCTATTTTACAGTGAAGAAACAATGCTACCAGTCAACAGCACAGAGCTATACATAGTGGTATCTCTGAGAGATTACAGTCTATCTTCATAGCATTAAAAACTTGGTTGCATAAATAATCTTTTCAAGAGAGCTGCTAAATGCCTGAAGTTCAGAAAAAGGCATCTGCAAGTCTAACAATATGTTACATAAATTACAAGTTAAACAAAAACAACCAAACATACTATAGCTAAAAAAATTCAAAAAGAACAAAATAAAAAAAGGACATTTGTAGTAAGATGCGACTGTTTCCTAAGATTTCAGTTAATTCTTTCTTCTAAACTATGCATTCTGTGGTTTTGACAAAAAAAAAAAAAACAAAACCAACCACAATTTAAAATACTCATCCAAATGGTAAGAATTGGAATAGTAAAACCAAACTGGCCTTAGAAGAGACACCCAACACTTCAGGGATTAGTGTTTGGATTCCTCTGACAACAGCTTTGCTCCACAAATTGAGCTTTAGTGCTTGAAAGGCAACCTCTTGGAAGAAAAGAGAAAGCCTTCTACACACAGAGCATAAATTAACATTAGTGTTCAGCCCTGGCTTGGAAAACAGCAAGATTAACAATATTGAAATGGTGTTATTACATAGTCTTTGCTTTATTTCCTTTCTCTACAGACTAATCAAGACAGTCAGTTTTCTGAGCAGGGTATCTGCTTATTAGAAATTGGACTGAAATAAAAAAGGCAAATGTAAGGTCAGTAACAGCTTACAGGTACTATCAGATAAATTAATCAATTAATAAAATACTTACATGAATGGCCAAAACAGGCAAATCAATATAGTTGAGTAATTCATAGTGGTACTTTACTGACATACATGATGAAAAAAATACCATTAGTTTCTTCTTCCGGTTCTTCTTAAGGAATGTGAAGAGCAGAAGGAATCTTTTCTCAGATGGACACACTACATATCCCTGGAAAAGTTTTAAATATTGTTAAGTAAAATAGTACGGAACAAATTTTTGCTTCAATATAATTTGCTTTGCAATACAGTTACATTAAGGAAGTGTTACGTAGTGAAACAAACATGCCAAATCATTAATTTTTCCAGCTGCAATGGACCAAACCATTTGATCTGTTGTCTGTTCCTTATCTTGGTATATGAAACTCCTGAAGATGATGAATTTGGCAAGAAGCTTACTGTACTAACTTGAAATATGGAGAAGTAATATGTAATTCTCCAAACTAATGTAAGTTCAGTGAAAAATAATTAGTTTATACAATAAAAATGCATTTCAAGAACTCTGAATTACTGACACTAGGCATGAAAAAAACTACATAGGGTTCTTAGTATTATTGTACGATTTCAAGACTTTCATTTTACAGAATCCGTGCTACTGGCTTACTCTTTTAAGGTAATACACAGCTACCGGGAATTTTATTAACATCATGTCAGCTGCACAAACAGAGAAATTGCTATTATCTTGAAACAACAATGAAACAGATCTGAAGTGTGCATATATACATGTAGTCAGGAACACGGAAAATACAGTTAGAAAGACAACTGGATCTATATACGTAATATAGACAGGAACAAACCAATCTAAAAACTATATTAGTATTTCATGAGTTTAGATCATCTGGCCTTCAAATATTGACTAGATGCATGTAACTTACTCTAGTTAACAGACTGAATACAGCCCTTTTGGCAAACAATAGCTTTTGTCCATTAGGATGGTAAATACCCTTCAAGACAGTGTTTGTACAGCTCAGTTAAAACCACACAGGACTTGGTATGTTCACAGATCATACCCCTGTTAACACTTGTGTTTTACCTGTTCAAGACCATCTACTGTTGCTGTCTCCTTATTATCATCAACCCCAACATAGAGTGGCTCTTTCTTCAGAGAGATCTTTGCCAGGTCTTCAACCTTTCTGGTTTGCGTAGCAGAAAAAAGCATCGTCTGCCTGCGCTCTGAAAAAATATTTTGAAAGACAGCCTCATTTTTTAAAGGAGAATTCAAATAGCAAGACCATAAAATCTCCAGCTGCAAACTTCCCTGAGGAAGTTGTCTACTTTTTTTCCAATTAAATTCTAATTGAACCATACTTATACTGACAAAGACAGGTGTAGTTGTGTTATGGATTGTACAGGATGTTTATTTAGCTACCAAAACACAACATTCTTTCTGCCTGGGAAAAACATTTATAATCACTTTCACTCAAATTTAGACACAAAACGATGATTTAAATAGAGACTGACCTTGTAATTCTAACTATAGTGATTTAATTCCCATGAATATTAAAATTTTCTTTAAAAATCATGCTAGACATTGTGCAAGAAAAAAACCTCACCAAAACTAAGGTGCATTGTTACTGTTTGCCTTGCAAAATCAGTCTAGATCATACACCTTTGTGCATATGCTGTTTAGTCACATGGCAGTATGTCTGTACAGAACCTCAGTGACTTCAATGCTCTTACAGCAGGTGTAGGACACCCCCTGCCTGCCTGTCATCACTGAGCTCAAATATATATCTTGATCCTTTATCTTTTCCTTGTTACATGAGTACATGGAAAATGCAGACCAAGCCTGTTCCATTTCACGACTGCAAGAACAGTAGAAACTGTTCTTGCCCAACAACCTGAATAAATAAATAAAAAATTGGGGAAAGAAAGTTTTTAAGGTAAATACTTAAAACTTCCTTAAGATACTGTTCTGGGACGTAAGAAGAAAATTTCAACTGCAATTCAGAAGACCTTTTTCCTTATATAGAAACATTAGGAAGTAACGAATTGTAGGAAGTAAAAATGGGCAGAGGAAGATGAATGAGTATGTAAATGTTAAACTAAAAGATCTTACACGCACAGAATTGTATCCCTAAAGTGCATATGAAAACTCTGTCCTTCAGATAAATAATGTTAAATAAAGTAACATATACTAGCTATCAGAAAAAAAATGACAGAGTAAGAGAATGACTCTGAAGTGCATTTACAGAACTATAAAAATTAATGACTTTCCTTACAATAACTGAGCCATAAAGGAGACATAATGTTAGTCAAGTGATTTCCAGGAAAGACTTTTTTTTCCTTACTTGGTAGAAGTTTTATGATCTGTTTCATTTCTTCTTCAAATCCAACTTCCAAGATACGATCTGCCTCGTCAATTACCAAACACTGCAAGTTCTTATACATGAAACCTGGAGTGTTCTAGAAGATGAACAAATAGTCAGACAGGTACAGGAGCATTATTATGTTTTAACAGATCAGATTAGACATCAATATTTTATCTACCTGCATATGATCCAGCAGTCTTCCTGGTGTTGCTACAATGATGTTGATCCCATTTCCAAGTTTCTGTGCTTCTGCTGATCTGTTACTGCCCCCCATTATCAGACCATATGTGTGAACGTGATGATTCATCAGTTCTTTAAGAACTCCGTAGGTTTGCATAGCAAGCTCTCGAGTAGGAGAGAGAATAATAACACCCGTTCCTAAAAAATACAACAGACAAGTTATAACGCATCCAATCCCCCTCCTAGCTGTGTCCCTAAATGGCAGCGCCACAGTAAAATTCAACTGTGAAATATAGTCTTACCATTTCTAGGCATGAATTTCAGCTTATAGATGAGCTCTACTGCAGGAATAAGAAATGCAAGTGTTTTGCCACTGCCTGTTTTTGCAGCTGCTAAAATATCCCTGTATGCAGCAGTTAGAAAAAGAAGCATTTAGTTGAGCATACTGAGAAAAGAACAATCATATTTTGAACAATCATATGTTGCCAATATAAACACCTAACGTGGCTTAAACAAAACCAGAACAGCTGGCACTAAAAGCTTGCTGGCAGATGGTCTTGGACAGCAATTGGCCACTGTGTCACTGGTGACAGCGTCTTTGAGACACACTGACAAGACCAGTGAAAACACTTCCCAGCTTTCAAAGACAAATGCAAAGCAGTTCCCATGAGCTTACCCTAAGTACCTGTTCACACACAACACTTATAAAATTTGTTAACCTGTATTACTGTCTATATGAGAACATGTGGAGAAAAAAAACCCAAAACAAAAACCAAACCCACAACAGTTTAGCTGCAGAAAAGTTACATTTAATATATTTAGCTTCCCAGCAAAATTTACACAACATTTCAGGTCCATACTGTGATTAAAAAGCTGTATTTCTTACCTGCCTTCCAGAAGTGGCTTAATACTTTTATGCTGAATTTCAGTCATGTGTGTAAAACCCATGTCATTTATGCCTTTCAGTGTATTTTCGCTGACAACGCTAGCCAGGGAAGTAAAAGAATTGTCTTCAAAAGCACCTGAAGTGAGTGGGGGAAATAAAAACATTCAAACTTAATTTCTTCAATTTCATCTGTCCTCTGAGATTACGCAGTCAAAAGTGACCTCGATTAAAAAAAAAAAAAAAAAAAGAGGAATTTTTCTTACTCCTTTCTACCATAAAATCTGAAGACACTGACAAAATACTCTGTATTAATGAGTTCCTCAGACTATTACACAATGTACACAAATACACTGTTCCTCCGTTGGGCTCTTCATTGACTTTTTGCTCTACAATTAAACATGTATGTTTTAAAGCAGAGGTTAACTAGCAATTTTAAGACTAATAAGAGTGTGCATATAATGCAGATTTCAGAGGACAGGTACTGAGGAACAGCTGTACAGTCAAGAGTGTCATATCACCTGTCCTCCAACACCTGACTTACAAAGCTAACCTGAAAACTGCAACTTGCTCTGGAAGAGACAGATCTTAGATTTTTTCACAGGTACGTAAAAGCGAAAACCAGATACCTGTTACACCTAGTGGTAAACTAGGCACTTCGTCCTCCTCCTCCTCTTTCTTCTCTCCAGAATCCTGCTCTTCTTCTACGTTGGCAGATTCATCTTCTTCAGTTTTTGCTTTTTTAATTTTTGTACCTAAAGCATTGTTTTACATAAGGCGAGTCAGAGATACGAAAAACTTGTTCATCATTACAAGTTGTTCCAGACAGTGAATTTCTTTAGTCTGTAAACCACGCACAAATGTCATGCTTTTTTCATGGGGTGGAAAAGGGCGGGAGAAGGGGAAGCAAGGTTTCTAGGCAACCTTCTGAGGCAGAGCACAAAAAAAATCCTAAATTCCTTCCACAATCCACTTCCCATAGCAAAACAATTAAGCTTAATGTACATTCTATGACATTTTCTGTGGAAACAAGATAAAACTATTCTTAAACTTCAGTTACAAAACCCTTTCCTATCTGTAATGCAGACATAAAGTTTTTAACTCAATTTATGCTCAGGACATGTGATACGTAATGTCTCTGTCCTAAGTACCCAAATCCTCAGAGCATGAAAGCACCTCTTCATAACCACAGTGAGTGTCACAAACATCAAATACATCAGGGATAGAAACTTCAGATGTGTATATGTGTGTCTACACATATGCATATATAAAAATATATACAAATCTAGCAACATTTATGGGATGCAGTTTTTTGGGTTAGTTGCCCAGTAGGCTTTAGTTTTATAATACACAGATGTTACCAAAGGTTAGATGCGTTGCTAAAAGGCCACACTGGCTGCACAGGAAGCACCATGAAAGAGGACAAATATGTATTTGTTTAATAAACAGGCAAAACATCCATACATCATGTTACAAAGCACAATCCTATGCAACAACTGTTTGCTATCTGTTTAGTACGTACAAAAGTTCAAATATTACAATTAGAGTAAACTCGGCAATACTGAAGACCTCCAGGGCTTTAAAGCATAGCCCATACCACCACAAGGCCCTTCTCACTGCCCAGCCGACTGAACTGATGGGCTCCCGCAGAGCAGAAAACGAAAGCAAACGCTTTTGGGAGTCTTCAAGAGTAACTCAGCCCTGGGAAGCAAGCTGTATTCGTTAAGTTAACCCACCTTCCTCCACAGCAGCCGCTGCTGCTTTCCTCTTTTTCTTCTTCCTCCTCTTCTCCTGCCCGTCGCGGGGGCCGGCTCCATCCGCGCCCTCCCCGTCTGCCGCCGCCGCGTCCGCCTCAGGGGCCGCCGCCGCTTCCTCCACCTCCTCCTCCTCCGGAGGGCCCTGCGATGCCGCCTCGCCTGCCGGAGGCACGTTGCGGAGGCAGAAAGGGAAAAAACATAAACGTAAAGTCAGCGACAGCTCCGCAAGCGCTCAGCCGGGGGAGGCCCGGCACGGCCGTACCTGCCCCCTCGGCCTCCCGCAGCTTGAGGTTGCGCTGCCGCAACTTCAGGTTACGCTTGTGGATCTTCCTGCGGAGGAGCCGCATGGGCAAGCTGCTGGCGACGACGGGAGCCAACATCCCGCCGCCCCGCTTCACGATCTCTTCCCACGTGGGACAGCGGCACGCCGCGTCCGGGCTCGGCCGGAACACCCCGCCGCCCGCGCGGCATGACGGGAGTCCCGCGGCGACACCCAGCGGAACGGCGGGACAGAGCCTACGGTCCCTGGCAGCCGGGAGGGGACTACCTCGTATGTCTGTCCCGTTCCCTGCACCTCAGCTCAGCGAGGGCGGAAAGAGCCCCGTTTACCCTGAGGAGGCGGGGACCGCCGTCTCCTCCGCAGACACCCCTTACCCCGCAGTACCGGTGGTGTTGCCTCTGCTCATGGTTACAGGTGTTTAACTGCAAATGGGAGTAAGAAGCGCTCCCTGGCATCCACCTGTAGGGTTCCAAATCTGGTACCTCCGGGAAAAGTTGTTTGGGGACACCCCGCATGTCCTCTTGTGTGCTGGCCAGAGGGGCTGGGGACATCGCTGTGTGCCCCACCGTGCAGGCCCCAAACTGTAGGCAGCGGCTGAAAGTGGTGATCCCCACCGCTGCTGGCTCTGCTGGCATCCCCTGGGTATGCATCGTGTAGTGGCACAAACTTTCATGCTACTTCCAGCACAAAAGCTGGTGAAACTTTCAGGCTTGCAGAATCCCCAGCACCGACCCTGGGGATAAAGTTCACAGCCGTGTCTTCAGTGATGTCCTGCACCTTTGTTAGTCACCTCATCTGCTGTCTGTTCCTCCTGATGGTGCAAAGAACTTGGAAATCCCCTGGACTCTCACCAGCCTGGCAGTGAGAGTGAGTGGGCCAAATCCGGGACGCCGTCATTTCCAGGGCACGGCTTCTTGGAGCTCCGTTAGGTAGCGCTTTCCAGATGGCCGGCTGGAGCTCCCCGCTGCACCTCGATTCCAGTGGCAGGCAGTGAGCCTTTTCCTTCTAGCGTCCTCCTGCTGTTTCGCTCGCCATCCTCTTCCAAAGTGTGACTCCTGCAGGCTGGAGTGCAGAATGCCTCGGCTTTTACAACTTGCTTGACCAGCAGATGGCACGAGCAGTACAGGAGTTTACAGCAGATCGCTTTGCTACCTTAACCCAGTAACCACCGTGTTCCTAGGAATCCAAATGACTGCAAATCGCGTAAGAGGCTGAGCCTGCAACACCCTGCTGTAACGCAAAATTAACTGCAGAACTGTTACTATATTAATTTCAAAGTGTTAATTGAATATAGTATATATATATGTTTAAGCTACTGATATTAGAGATGAAAAAAGTAATTTTTCATCAGTGTTGTCCAGTTGTTTTCTTGCAGAATATGAACCACATTATCTTGTCCAGACTTTCAAAGACTGGATAACAGGCATGGCCACCGGCTTATTAAATTATGAGGGTAGCTGCCATGTCCATCTGCTGTGTTTGAAAAGACACTGAACCATTCTCAGCAAGAAAGGCTTGTGGCACAAAACTCCAGGAGAACTTTGTTCAAGGCTGAATTTCAAGCAAGTAAAAGTTCCTTATCCAGCTCAGTATAATTTAGGTTCTGGACTTATTTTCTTCCTGGCTACCTTATATTATGTCCACATAATATGTTTTCAGGTATACGGGTTTGCTCTTCCTAGTCTGTACAGATTTATGAGTGAGTCTGTGACTAGGTTTATTACTGGATCCAGATTTCACCCAGGTGGTGCTCTTTTCAGGAATATGATCATTGTGCAGATAGAGTGAATTAAAAATCTGGGGACTGATGCTAATACTTGCACGTAGGAAGAAGGAAATGATGTTCTTTGGGCATATTTGTATCTTAACTACACACATTTGTGTCTTAAACAGTAGTCCAGTCCCAGGATCATCACTATTTTGCTTTCAATCACGTCATCACACCCCCAGCTCTGCCAAGAATTAGGACCTGGAAACCCTGTTCAGGTAAATCACTAAATAAAGAACTCACCTCAGTGTCTGTGTTGGGTCCTGGCTGTCTTGGCAAGTCTTCATGAAATTGCATTAGTGTGGCACGAGGCCCAGACTGATAAACTGTCCTGAGAAGCTACGTTAGATCCCACAGAGCAGAATATATTGCCTGTGTCAGTTGGCTATTAGAAGCATGATACACAAAGAAAACTTTGTTGTGCTTGTAGATAAATTATGATCTTGCACCTGTGTAAACAGATGTCATGGCATTATGTATAGGAATTCAGAAATTACAGATTTCATTAAGTGTCAAAGTATCATGTGCTCGAACACTACTTTGCCTCAATTCTCGTAACAGATACTGCTTAGAGTTAGTAAAGAAGTGTGCTGCTCTGAAAATTTCCAGACATGTTTTATGAGCTTCTTTCTTTTTGTCTTTGTTTCTTCTTCCAGCTGAAATTGCAGGAAGTTAGGAAAAAAAAAAAAAAGACAAAAAAAGACAATAATAATTTTATTGTGACAGGTCTAGACAATAGTTTAAACCACTAACATGTTTTTTTTCTCTGAAGTATAGCATTTCTTAGGTATCATATGAATTCCCTCTAGTACATGTCTTATTTCTGTCCAATAGATTAATTCTTAATTGCTAAGGCAATTGTTACTAACAATAGGATTTTCTCAAATGGTTATTGAGTTATTGTCAAAATGTCTCAAATTTTCTACACATGATTGTGCAGGAAGGTATGTTTTGGGTTAGCAAAGCCTTGATAGAGCAGAATAAGTCCATATTAGACACTCTGAATTTATTTCTGAAGGTTAATATCAGCATTTTACCTCCAAAGACAATTCATCATTAAAGCAAAATTCAGAATCTTTCCTTCTACTTACCATTGACTAACTCCTGTTGATTAACAGTGTAACACAACAATAGTTGTTGATTTCAGTTGTATCATTTCAGGTAGATGATGATAATTTATACAAAAGGTATTAAAATCCCACACAGAAAAAATCATGAAACAAAAGCATGTAGTTATTTTGGATACTTGAATTGTGGTGCAGAGCTGAATTAAGACAGACAAGTATTATTTTCAGAAAACAGAATCTCTGAAAAAATGTTTTTTTGATGTCTACATCGAACATGAAAAGCCACCGATGTCATTTATGAACCCCTGCACCATCAAGCTGAAAGTTTTGAACTAGAAAACTAGAGCTTTTATTGCCTACAGCCACACACGGGAAAAACTTTCAGATCTGACTTTTCATTTTTAACAGATTATTATTTTCCCTGCTAGATCAAATTTATCTGTCAGACAGTAGTAAGTTATGGATAGGGACTTAAACTCTAGTGTCAGGTGCCACTTTTTTTCAAATGTGTCTAACTTCCATAAGAAAAAAAATCTGTAAATATGCAAGTGATGGATACAAAGGTATCTGCAGAAGTGGTCTAGTGTGATGTGTCCCTGCTCATGGCAGGGTGTTAAAACTAGGTGATCTTAAGGTCCTTTCCAACCCTAATCATCCTATGATTCTATGAAATAATCAATTTTCCAGTTTGACTGACACATATGGTTCTGAAATCTGGACTTCAGCAGGGAAAAGTTACCCACACCTGAACTGATATACACAGTGTAGATACAGATATATCACATAGAGAATAAATGACTCGATTTATAGAGCATGTTATTGTTAATGGGGGTTAGAAATTGCTGGTGCAAATCATACCTCCATAGGGTATCATTGCATATCATTGAATTTGTGAGGGAATTTAAGTATGGCTTTAAGACAAGGTGAGTAAGATATCTGTTTTTGAAAAAAGCAAGCTAGCCTATCATAATCACAGGGGATTTTTATTTTTATTTTTAATTTTTTTTTTACTTTTTGTTTAATGCTGCTTTCAAATAATGTCTCCCTTGTATCATCTGGGGGTATTGTCCCAGTTATAAATGGCATCATCATCGCTTTGTGTAGCATATGGAATTTGTGTTTTTTTTTAGGAAATTTCTCATTTATCCATTTACCCCACTCTTTTAGACCTCTCTGCAGAGCTTAGCATGGTTGATCATGAAATCTTTGTGTGTCATATGAGCTGGATAGCAGGAGTTACTGTACAGATACTGATTACTGTACAGATTACTGTACTATTCTGAGCTCTTCCTAAAGTGATGCGTTCAACAGTCAGTGATGATCAGCTTCATGCCTACCCCACTTAATGGCTGGAAACCCACAAAAATCTATTTCCTTATGTCCTTTTCTAGCAATGGAATACAACCACACTGGCAGCTGGACTCAGAGGCTGGCAATTTACAGATAGTACCTGTTTATCAGTATTCATTACCATCTATGTAACTATAGCTGGATTATGTGATGTTTATGATTAAAAAAAATCCTCAGTATTTAGGAAATGCCATATAGTATGAAATGCTGTAGTTCTTCCCTGCAATAAGAGGAATTATGACTTGCTTTCCACAGAAGTTTGTGCTAAGGTCAGTATTTTGGTCCTCATCTCCAAAATATGTCATCGCTAGGGCCCAGTTTATCCAAAATATTGCTTAAATCTCTCTGAAATGAAGCATACCGTGCAATCACAGAATCACAGAGTCACTGAGGTTGCAAGGCACATCTGGAGATTGCCTAGCCCAATTCCCGTGCTCAAGCAGGGTGAGCTACGGCAGGTCCACTCAAGTTTTGAGTGTTTCCAAGTATGGAGGCTCACAGAAGACTCCATCTTCTTTACTCCCTCCCTTCAGGTATTGATACACATTGAACCTTCTCTTCTCCAGGCTGAACAGTCTGAGCTTTCTTAGTTTCTCCTTGTATGCCAGATGCTCCAATCACTTTACCATTTTTGTGGCCGTTTGCTGAACTTGCTCTGGTATATCCACGTCCCTATACTGGGGAGCCTAGAGCTGGACACACTACTCCACATGTGTCTCACCAGTGCTGAGCAGAGGGGAAGTTCACCTCCCTTTTGTTTGTCACAGTGGAACTTCCTGTTACAACTATATAGCTGTTTTTGTAAAGAAACTTTGGCATTTCCAAGAGAAATATAATAATTGTCTATTTGACACCTACACACTGCAAACAATAAAATCCTATAGAAAACAAGGTGCTATGCCCATTTTCATCCTCACAGAGGCAATGAGAGAACAAATAATACATAATACAAGAGCAGTGCACAATTTGTAATGTACTGCTGGCAGGCAGGAGAGTACCATGAGGAT